TGATTCCAGATTCAGACCTTTAACAACGTGTTTTAAAAAATTTCGACGTAGTAATATTTTTCACACGACCCAAAAATATAACAGAAGACGTAATAAGACTTATCACGGCAATACAGTTTAATAAAAATTTAAAACAGAGTGAGTAGGCTTACAATTAAATTTGCTCTCTCTGCAGCCTTTGGATCCGGGATGTTACCATGTTTGTCTTCTCTAGCTTTCTTCCATAAGGTAGATCGATCAATATCTGCCCCGGGCATGGTTTCCACCAAGTGATCCTCCAAACCAGCATATCCTTTTCGAGGCAATTGATGATTGTACTCAAGTTTCTCCCTCCTCTGTGATTGTTCAAAATGCACGCCCACAAATTTTTCAGATAACCTTGAAGCTACAAAGGCATCCCAGTCAACTTTCTCTATGAATTTGTATATTTCAGGGGGTTGCCTTAATTTCTCCTTCTCCTTGATGAATGGAAGGATATGAAACCTCATTAGTGTAGACTTGAAATCCTTCCATTTCTTGGCAGCAGAAGATAACACCATTTTCTTGCTCCCTTGACCAACCACAAAATCTATGTCAACGGCTTCCCAAATCTGCTCTTTTATATCCTTGGATATTTGAACCCATTTCTTGTCCCCAAGTGGGACTCTGGACCGTGCCAACACACCAATGTAGGACTGCATCTCACTATGTGCAGGGCTATATGCTTTCCCCTTTTTATTGTACTCAACAACAGGCTTGATTTTCTGAAATTTTCTCTTCACAACACGGGGCATTGTGGTTATACTCCGACCTGACTTTGGCTCCTCATAAAATGTTGTCGTGCTGCCTGCTGGTTCTGTCTCAGCAGATGAAACAAACTTCATTTTCTTTGAGGACTTGGCTTGAGGATTTACAACTCTAAGCTCCTTACATTCATTTTTTTTCAAGCCAGAGTCCTTACTTTGGGATTGAGAAACCATGGTTACAGACAAATCAAACTTGCAAGTGAAAATATTTTAGTGAAATTAAGAAAAAATACGAGGGTTATTTATAAAATCCGACGTTTTAAAATATTTCAAACGTCGCAAGAACAAAACAATCGACGTAATAATAAATTTTCACAACGGTAATTAACCACCGACGTGATTATATATTACAACGACGTTAATAATAAACAACTGACGTCTTATGATATAATTACAAAAAATAGAGGATTAAATATTACAACGACGTTAATAATAAACATTCGACGTGGTATTGAAATTAAAACGACATAAATAATAATATATCGTCGTCTATACCACAGAATAACAAATTAGGGAAAACGTAAAATATTTTCAACAGAAAAATAATTAAAAAGATTTTCAAAACAAAAACCATTGTTCTGAGAAATCAAACCTGCGATGAATATATCCTAAAAAATGAAATACAAAAAAAGAAGATCATTTTAAAAAACAACGAAGAACACTTTCACACGACGCTAGGATGACTGACGAACCGTAGTGGTCTATAAATCTAACCACGTAAATAACAAGCCACCGTCGTCTTATTTAGTTGAAGTAAAAGAATCAGAGTAGTGTTCAAACTTGGAAACTTTCTGTCTTTGTCTGCAAATTTTATCAAACTTGAAAAGAAAAAATGTAAAAAGATTAAAAAAACGAAAATGATATGCGCATGCAAAATAGGAACAAAAATCCTTCCAGAAATGCTTACCCTTTGCGTGCAATGAAAGCTTTCTCTTGGAGTTTGGTGTTTCAGTTCAGAGACGAAGACGAAGAGGAGAGGAAGACGAAAAGTTTTCTCTCGGAGATAAGCTTGAAAGTTTGAAACAGCGCTTTGAGAATGAAAAATGAGAGAAGCTTGAAAGTTTTTCTCGGGGTTTGGAAACAATGCAAGTATGGGTTAGGTAGGCGAAAAGCTTAAAATACTAACAGACCGTTTCATAAAACGACGCTATTAATAGGATGCGCCCTAGTATGCAACATTATACGGCGCTATAGGTTAACACCGCCCTATAACATTACTTTCTACGACGCCTAGTTTTAAGGAACCGCCGTTTTTATATCGAATTACATGACGCATTTTTCTTCAAAAAGATGAATCACGTCATTTTCAAATTTACCCAACGACCTTATACTCAATAATAACGACGTGAAAAATATATACCACGTCGTTTTAATTAAGCATTCCGACGTGTAACTTTTTTAATTACACAATAAATTAGTTTTCCAAAAAACGACAACGTCATTTTTTATATAGCGTCGTTGTTAATTTATTTATACGACCTTATTTTAGGTTTAAACGACGTTTATATTTTGATATAAACGTCGATAATTTAATATAACCGACGTGGTATATAAGATTTGTTTATAAATAAGGGTTTTTATGTCTTTCTTTCGTCTTCATTTTTCAATTAGGGTTTCAACTTCTTCTTGCTCTTGGCTCCGTCTCACCTCTCTGGAGGCACATCACCTCTCTGTCTCACCTCGCTTTCATTTTTCAGTTTGGATGTTGATGTGTGTGCGCGTTTGTGTATCTGAAAGACACAAACACGCACACATCATCTAAAAAATTGTCTTTCTGCTGCGGTCGTCATTTTTCTGAAAGAAAATTTTTTGGATGTGGATGTGTGTGTGCCTTTGTATATCTCAAAGACACAAAGACACACACATCATCCATTTCTAAAACATTGTCTTTGTGTGTTGGTTCGATTATGATGAGGAACAAAGTTCATTCTGGTAAGACTTCACTCTAATTTGATAATGACGACGGTTTCCTATATAAACCGTCGTGGGTTTTCTACCGCTGTAGGAAAAAAAATCCAATAAATAAATCTTAAAAACTAATTAAAATTAAGACGACGGTTTATAGATAATGATAGACGTATAATGGTAAAAAATGTGTACGTCGTTATTTTAACAAACCGTCGTGGTTTATAGGGAATGATAAGACGGCGCTTTTTTAATTTGGTGCGTCGTGGTTTAAAAGTATCTATGCGTATACCGGTTTTTTAGGTTTTTAAGATATGTTTCTACGACGGGTTTCTATTACCGTCGTATTTTAAAAAACGACGACGGTTTTTTGGTCTACCGTCGTTGTTTCCTGGTCGTCTTTTGCCCTTTTTGTAGTAGTGAGCATGCTAAGTCAGTTCTTAACAGTAAGAAAAATATAATTGAACTCATGAAAAGATAGTAGCACTTAACATCAATCAAAATAAAAGGATATGAAAATATTGAACCAAAAATAAAAGAATTTAGCAATTCATACCGAATATTGGATTAAAGAACAATTCACAAACTTACTCAAAGGACATTCCCTTTAGCCTTAGCTAGAGTTCTAGCAACTCATTACAAAGGAAAACATAACTAAATTTTTGAATGAAATGGATAAAGAAATCTGTCGTAGAGGTTCCCTTGCCAAATAAGTTGATGGGTGAGGTGAGTGCGAAGTTAATACATTCGTGGTGGGTAATGAAGAGTTTAAGTGAGGGATTAATTGGATTAAACATGTGATGATGGTGGAGAGTTGGTGGAAAAGAAATAACGGTGAGGTAGTGGGCATGTGGTGGGTAATGAAGGGTTTAAGTGAGGGATTAATTGGATTAAACATGTGATGATGGTGGAGAGTTGGTGGAAAAGAAATAACGGTGAGGTAGTGGGCGTTAAATGGCTATGAATGACATGAAATAGGCACTTTAGCTTCAAAGGTTTTGTCTTCTCTTCTCCTTCTTTACTTCTCTTTATAATCACAATAATCCCACAATCAATTCTTCAATAAAATCAGCTAGCAATTCTCTTCACATATGGCTTGAACTTAGACAAATGTATGTCTTCATCTTTTGGCTTTCCAACTTCCTACAAAAGATAAATTCACCTAATAAGTTCACCAAATTAATATAGAAAATTCATAAATCCAGTTGGTGAGAATAAAATGTAACAACAAGTGAAATTATATTTATTAAGCCAAAATTATATCATAAAGTCTCCAAAATAATATTAAAAAGATGTAATTTGAGACTCTTATCAAAGTCCACAGGGTCCTCTCCATGCTTTTGGCGGGTGTTGTTGAGCTGAGTCGTAGTGACTCTTTCCTCATGCTGGAAGTATTTCTTGCAAAATCTGCCTGCCAAATCCTCCTAGGAGTGAATAGAGCCTGGTGCCAGTGTTGTATACCATGTATAAGTGCGGTCGGTAAGCCTTTTTGAAAACTCCAGGAGACGGAGATTATGGTCACTGGCATGTGGTCCTAAAGCATCAATGAAGCGGTTGACATGCTCATTTGGGCTTCATTTCCTTTTGTAAAAAAGGACAAAGCTTGGTGCCTCATAGCCTTTGGGATAAGGCTGCTAGAGTAGGCTCGATGGATAGGGTGGTTGAGGGATATACTTCCAATCTTCTTGACTTCGGCTAAGCTCATTTTCCAGCATGGCAATGACGTCCTCCTGAGTGACAAAAGACGGCCCCTTTTGTTCAGAACCTTTTTCTGCAGCAACAGACTCTTCTTAGAGGGCCCTCTCGTGCTCTTCACTTGGCTTAAAAACTGAACTTTTCAGTTCCTCGATTGTTTCCATGATTTCCCTCTAGGTTTCCCCCATAGTAAACTATGATATTTATTCCTGTCAATCTCTCCAATATCTTCACCTCCCACAATTTGCGCTTATATTCCTATTTTTCATTAGGGGTGGGCACGGTCCGGTTCGGCCCGGTTCTCTCTTAAACTCGAAATTGGAACCGATACTGTTCATCTAATCCAGTCGGTCTGGTTTTTCATTAAAACACCTTATAGAACCGGACCAACCCGAACCTATTTATATCCAGTTCGGTTTCCGGTTTTCCAATTTGGACCGGCTCTTGAGCCCTTTTTTTTTTTTGGAATTTTAAAGAGATTTAAGCCCAATTGAATTTTAAAAAAATTTTGGGCTTACAAATTCACAATTAGCCTAGTTCCCTTCCATTTGTTCCAAACGAAATTTAGCAAACATTAAATTTAAAATTACAACCCAATAACAAAACAAAAACACATATAGCAAATAAAATTACAAAAATAACATTCAAACTATTCCATCTTCCAGTGAAAAAAAAGAAGCTCCATCTTCCCCTTGTTCCTTCTCGAAGGTCTCTTGGCAACACGAAGAGGCATTTTCTTCAAACCTTCTCTATTAAGATCCTCTCCCAGCCCCCTGCATGTAGAAAAAGAGAATTCATGTGCAAAAAGGCAGACAAAAACAAATAACATATGACAAGAGAAAACATAAACAAATAACAAGTGTTGTGGTAATCGTTGTGGGAATTGTTACATAAACAAAAACATAACTATATATGATTTTTATGCATAAAGAAAGTCAAAAAGGTGTGGACAACCAACATGGCCTATGATATGCTTTACAACCACAAAGAAAGAAGACGTCATCAACAACAACAAGCAATTCACTAAATTGCAGATCTTTCATGAATATAAAAGTGCCTATTAAAATAAAGAATTTACACATATAACCGGTCGAAATTAACAAAAAAACAATTCAAAGTTTGCAGCTTTAGCAGTAAAAGAGAGAAAGGAAACCTGGGTCATGGCCCTTTGGAGCAAAAGAGAAGCACTACAAGGAAAATCCCTTTCAGCGACGAAACAAGATGGTCGCTATAACAGCTAATTTCGTCGCCAAAGGTAAATAGCGACGAAACCCAGTTTCGTCACTAAAATATTTTAGCGACCAAAATTGTTGTCGCTAAACAACTCAAAGTTGGTCGCATATAGAGAGAGAGTTGCCGCCAAAATACCAAAAATTTCCGCGAACATGGAATTATTTGGCGACGAAATAAATCTTTGGTCGCCTGAATAGTTCGGCGACGAATATTTGGTCGTGAGAGAGGTTTGTTTATTTGTCGCATATGCGAGTTTGTATTGATTTTTTTTTTTTATAAATAATTATTTATATTTCAAGCTTTGTAACAGAATATTATTTAGTCCATAAAGTTTTTGAAAAACAGTAAATAGATGAAATTAATAGGAATAGCATAATTACTATTGAAAAGATACTAGTTTAAGCACACATCAATGTATGCTAGATACAAAAACCCCCAAGGTATGCTAGATAAAAAAAACCATCAAGTAGCTAGATACAAAGCCCCTAGAACCCCCAAGGTAGGCTAGATACAAAAACCATCAAGTATGTACACACAACCTAATGACTATTTCCAATATCATTAAGATCCTCATAAACATTATGTGAACCACCACTATTACCTTGATCATCATCACAAGGAGAATCACCAACATGCGAGGACAGAACACCTATATGTGAAGGTAGAGGACCATCATGTGTTCGCATCCACTCAATGACATCCAAAAGTTTACCCACTGTGCCCTGAAGCTCACTTACTGTGCCTTTCAACTCACCAATTGTGCCTTGAAGTTCCTCAACCTTTTGCTGTGTAGCAAAAGAAGAGGCAACTCCACCACTATGCGAACTCTCCACTCGGAGACTAGAACCCAAGCCTCGAATCCTCTTGCCCTTTGCAACCCCAAATTCTACAGTCATGATCTCTAATTGTTGTGGGATAGGGAGTGTGACTTGATCTAGTGGACTTGATCTAGCAATAAAAATAAATAAAAAATTCAGTTAGACACAGTAAACCCACAACACAAGTCAGAAAAAAAAAAAACAAAAAAAAGGCAGATGCCATATTTTTAGCTATCCATACCTCTTAAGCAAATATAGCCTCTTAAGTAAGTAATTCAAACACCCTGCTGCTAAAAAGAAAAAGAAAAAAACAAATCTGTTAGACACTATATTTTTGGAGGGCTTGAGTCCAAATTAGTCTTCAAACTCAAAATAGTATATGCCTTTCACCTCTAAGTTTCACCACTCATCATTAAACAAAAACATTACTTTTCTGAGTTAACTCAAAACAGTAACATAATAAGACATCACATGAAGCACCAAATATCCAAGATAAAAGTCTCAACATAAAACCAAATGGTTCAAAATAATATTGTAATCAACACATCCACTTTATACAGTTAAAACATGTACAATGAATAAAGTCAGGCTTAAGGTCACATGTCTCTCATGTAGTATATGAATTATCTGAAATTACTAATTAGGCTCTTCATCTCAATTCTAGAACAAATTATTATTCTTTATAGTTCTTAATTATATATGCCCTAAATGATTATAAAAACCATTTCAAAT